TCCTAAAATTAAAAAACTTAAAAAGTGAGAACATCATTTTGAGCAAAAAAAAGTGAAGAAATTGGGCTAATCCAACCCAAAGTCATTAGCTGGGGATTCAACAACTAAGGTTGGATTAGGATTGGCCTCAACCTGACCTAATCCTGCCCAACTTTGCACACCAAGAGAGGAAGACACATGGCCTTTCAGATTCAGGTTGAGAGAAACACAAAATCTACCGGTCAATCTGAATTGCTATTTCAGATGGGTAAGTAGATCTGCAAATGATAGGACAGATGCTTTAGCAGGAAGTGGTGTGGACAGAGTAAAATTTTAGGAGTGTTAGAAGTGGAGGCAAAATAGTAAGCAGTTTTTGTTTTTTGTCTCTTATGTATGACAGTTTTAAGCTGTAAGAAGAATTTTTTGTATTCAGATTTCATTTCAAAATCCTTGAAGTGTTGGGCACCATCTTTTCCACAACCATAGTTGTCAAGGCAGAGCCTAGGCAACAAGGTGCCCTTGGAGGCTCACCTTGCCCAATCGCCAAGCAGTTTTGTATATTGTGTTATAAAATACTTTTGTGTTCTTTTAAATAGATATTATTAAACTACAATATTCATTTTGTGTTTATATACTAATTTCTTTTTATTATTTTCTTATTTGTCAGGGCTTAATCAACACAAACATTGTTAAATGCTGTATTTAACCCTCAAAGACTTCAAAACCTGAACCAGGAAGAACTTAAAATTTTGTCTAATCAACACATTTCTTCTTCCACTTTTTTTCTTTTCTTCTTCCACTTTTTTTCTTTTCTTCTTTCCCTATAACAAAATAGGGGTTCAGCCCCCTTATTTTTTGAAATTTCTTTTCTTTATTCTCTTTCTTATTTTTTGTTGATGTTCTATACTTTAACATGAAGTTTATACTTTTCTTACAAAAGTTATGGATAATTATTAAGGAAATATGGTTACGGAACCTAGGGAACTACCCTAGGATATATGTATTTTACTTTAAAAAAAAATCCATTGCCTAGGCAACACCTAGGTGGGCACCAGGTGACTAGCAGACAAGGCGTCCCCCTATGACCTAGCCCTCACCTTGGTGCCTTGAAAACTATGTCCACAACTTTAATAAAAGTTGATCATGATTGATCAAAATATTATCAAAAGAAAAGTGCAGATGTGCATGCCTGTGAGAACATGCATGCCCATTAAATACCTTGATATCTTTGTGCAAAACTAGTTTTGAGAGCTTGAAATGTGCAGTTGGTCCATCAGGTAGAGCAATGATCCGAAGAGCATCTACAGTATAACAAGAGGCTTCAAATATCAATAACCAAAAGGAAGACAATATTAACACAAAACAAAACAAAAATAAAAAATAAAAAAAAAAACAGAAACAGATTTCACAGAAATATTCATAGTTGCAAAAGAATGGATGAATATGGATCAGCAATACAAATTTTATAGTAGAATAGATCATGATTCAGTTATTAATATACACAACCATAAAATTACAATTGAACAAATTGAGAACATATTCAAAGTCTCTTTGGGGATAAAGCAGTAACCGATACCTGGTTCTCTACGGTTAGTGTGGACAACTATGACAGAAGCGAAGTYCTTGTTTTTTGCATATTCCACAATCTGTGTCACAAATTAAAAAAAAAAAAAAAAGGCCTTCTATAGATCATCGTACCCAGGAACCCAGATTATTAAAATATAACATTACAACATGCTACAATTCAAACACACAGCACCTTCTTCAAGTCAAAGGTTCCCCTCTTATAATAGTGGGCATTTGGGATGACTGAAAGTAGCTCTGAGATAAAAGCAGGCCCTCTCTGTAAATCAAGTAAAATATACATAAATCAGCAATTGTTCAAAAAATAAGCTTTGCAAATGATATAAGAATATCCTTTGAAGATTTAGAAATCTATAAAAGTTCAGTAGCTTCCATGCTATGTACAATCAATAAAGAGGGATGAAGAACATACAGTATAGTTAAAACGACATGTGGTGATCAATATCTTTGGAGTGCACTTCCTTTTAAGAATTGAACTAAATTCATCTACATCATTTCCAGCAAAGAGCTGCATATGAATCAGGGTTAAAATGTTAAAGAGTCATGAATATACAACATAATAATTAATAAAGAAACAAGAAAAAGAATAAGAAACAATATGATCCACAGTACAAGTTTTCCACCATAAGAAATAAAATTCAAACAACAAACAACTATTATGAAGCATGAGAAACTAATTTGCACCAATCAGAAAAGAAATGGCTCATTATTGTACAAATAAGAAGCACTTCACTAGATTCAACAAATTTCAATAAATGATAACAATTAGGTACTTAAAAAATGATATCAGTTAGGTATTTTTTTTATGATATCAGTTAGGTAATATTTTTTTTATGATATCAGTTAGGTAGTATTTCCTTATAGATAAACCATCTTTAGGCTGTATGAGTTTACGTATTTTACTACCTTAATAGAATACCATTTTGTTGCTTTTCAAAAAGAAAAAAATTCTCCTTCTAAACCTGAAGTTATTCCTTTGATAGATTTCTGCCTAGCACAAACCTCCATTTCTTTGCCTGGCACCTTCCTACCCACTACAGATATCTATCACAATTCCTCTACTCTCTACTTATTTGCTTTTCTCAGATTTCTACCTTTTCGGTCATATTATTCTCCTATAGCGTTTCAGAGACTTGTGGTCATAGGCAGTCAGTTAAGCAATTGTATCAATTGTTAACCATTAACAGAGATTGGGACCATATTGTTGACACTTAATATTTAGTTTTTTAATCTCGATAAAAGTTTTCAAATTTGCCCATAAAAATGTTATCTACAAACCACTATCAGCAATTTTATTTTTGATAAATAATGAAAGTTTTATTAAGGATCAATAAAAGGATTACAGTGCCAAGTAGAGGCACAAGATGCAGCCTCAAAAGCAAAAAAAAAAAAAAAATTGAATTACAAATGGGCCCAAAATAATTGATCCTTATGCCTGCCAACCCATTAGCCGATATCCTTTACCATTGAACTCTAATTATTATATTTGTAGTTAGCCAATTGAATCTTCTCATAGCCTCCCTATAATGCCCTAACAAGCTAGTGCCTGAGTGTCTCCCTCCGGTTCCTTCAACCACCCGATTACTAGCTTAGAGTCAACTTCAATTAGCAGTCTCTCGTAGTTTAATTCTCTAGCAATCTATACTCCTTGTAAAATTGCTTGGAACCCTGCATTTACTGAATTCCCCACACCAATAGGACCATTACCAGAAACTATTCTTTTTTTTTCTCTCATACTGAGTGCTGATGCTTGTATTCTATTAACAGATGCCTATAATTAACTCCTCAGAGTGAACTAGTTTTTTGCAAACGCAAACAAAGTAATAGAGCACCAATGCACTTAAAGGCATAACATGCATTAGAAAAAACTCGTCGGTCACAGAAAAAATAAATAAATAAAAGAAGGAAAAGAATAGCTGTAGATGACCGATTAGTTCATTGCAACAAGTCCTGATTATTTCTGCACACATGTAATTCATTTGAAATTTTTCCTTTTAATCCAAGGAAAAACAAGAAACAATAGAGAGGGCAGACCTCTTCATCATCAGGTTTACAGACTGTCTCGTCGAACTCTCTGGTGTTCTCAATCGAACGAGGGATCTTCTTTGGTGGAGGCTGCATAAAAGGTTAAAATAAAATATGTATTAAAAATTCCACCTTCAATCATCTAAATATCAAAACCCTAAACCCTAAAAACCAGTAGAGTACATTGTTTTACCCTTCTCTTCATGGTTGAACAAAGTTGGTGATTTTGAAGAAGAAAAGGGGAAGGGACAAAGAACATACCTCCTCGCCGAGTTCGAGAGCTCTTTTCTCTGCAGCATCACGAGCCTTAAGATTTTTGCGCTTCTCGAGCTTCTTCTCGTGCTTGAGCTTGGCATGAACAGCGGATCTCTTCTCTTTGTTTTTTATCAGCGATGGAAGTATCTGCCTCTTCTTCTCCTTCTCCGACTCCAACAACATCGCTTTCTTCCTTCTTCCTCTTCGCACCCATCGTTTTCCTCAGAAAATACGCAGGGAGTCTGGACTGGAATCCAACCTTAGCCCAGAAACCCTAGAAACCCTCTATCGACACTTCATACACGTAACTTTCATAATTGCCACGTCATCATCGCCATTTCTTCTTCTTCTTCTCTCTCCTTTCTTTTTCTCTCTTTCCCTCGTTCACTGCAGCTGGTAAACGAAGTAAGGAACAGGCTCTGCTCGATCCACCCAACGTCTCCCCACTCTCCCCTCTTATTTTCCTTTCACTTTTCCCGCTTCTTTTTCTTTTCTCTTTCTTTCCTCCCTCCTCTTTCTTCTCCTTCTCCTTATTCTCTCCTGCTCCCCTGTTCTTCTGCAACCGAACCTCTCAGAGCACCGCCACCGCCCCTACTTCCTTATCTCCTCAGTCCTCCTTCCCCTATTTCTCTTCTTCCCTTTTCCTCTCCTTTTCTTCTCCGTTTCTTCCCTTCGTTCCTCCTTTTTATATATTTTCTTTTTTTATCTCTTCAAATTGTTAGTCGTTGCTTCTGTTTCAGGATATCAGCAGCCGCATAACATAACTTTTCGCCATTATTGACATAGCTACTTCAACTTATTGTTGAACTCTCAAACTACAGCAGGGATTTCTGCTTGCATCTCGCGTTCAAGCTCGATAGGAAGTAAACCAGTCGTCACCCACGAGACGGGCTACGCACGTACGTCTTCTTTTATCGTGTTAAAAGACAGATGGCGCCACACGCTTGTTGGGAGAACTCTCTTGGGAACGAAGTCCATGGGCAGATCGAGCGCCTCTAGCTAGTACTTTGAAATCCAATTCGGTGAATTGATTGTAATCTCCATTGGAGGCGAGAGCCAGCAAAGTAAACAAGTCTTCACGTTCGGTCGGTTGTAACTCAAGTATTCTCATTTCTACCAGTGGTATAAGGTAAGCTTCGTAAAACCCTAAACCCTTGGAGTCTTGTTGAGCCAGACCATGTTCTTCAATCGAACCCACCTCATGAAACTGAAAAAACTACTCTTTTCTTCCCAAAGATCACTGTTATTACTCAATCAAGAGCAACCCACTTACAACTACACCCAGAAATGCAACTACGTAGATGTGAAGATGAAATGGAAGAAGGACGCCTTTTATGATTCCATTGAAATCATTCACAAGTCCCCGGAACTCAAAGCACTAATCTCTCTCAAAAACTGTATTGTTAACGCATCTGACGATTGCATTCCAATCGATGCTGTCTCCAAGAGGGGACGAGAATTGGGAGTACCCATGAAAGTTGCCAGGTTTATGAGGCAATATCCATCGGTTTTTGAAGAATTTGCAGGCCCAAAGTACAACCTCCCCTGGTTTAGATTGACGCAAGAAGCCATTAATCTCGATAAAGAAGAGAGGGGGGTCTACTCTGATCAGAATTTCGAACTTATTTTAAGGTTGAAGAAGCTGATACTGATGACCAAGCAGAAGAAGCTTCCGTTGAGGATCATTGAAGGTATGCTATGGTACTTGGGGTTGCCAGAGGATTTCCTACAAAACCCAGGAGCAAATCTTGACAAGTCGTTTAAGTTGGTTGAAATGGGGGATGGGCTTCAAGGACTGACTGTTAATCCAGATAGGAGTATCATGTTGTCTGTAATGCAGAAAAATGCCTTAAAGAGAGGTAACTATATAGAGGGACCATCAGCACCACTTGCCTTTCCTCTTTTCCCTTCCAAAGGTTTGAGGTTGAAGAGGAAAATCTCCAATTGGTTAGATGAATTTCAGAAACTACCGTATGTATCCCCTTATGAAGACTCTTCCCATCTGAATCCATGTAGTGATGTATCGGAGAAACGGGTTGTAGGCGTTCTTCATGAATTGCTCAGTCTCTTTGTTGATCAATCTGCTGAGAGAAAGAAGCTTCTTTGTCTTCGTACCCATCTGGGGTTGCCTCAGAAATTCTACAAGGCATTTGATCGTCATCCCCACATGTTCTACCTGTCACTAAAGAGCAAGACATGCACAGTGATTCTCAAAGAAGCTTACAATGATGATTCAGCAATGGAGACCCATCCCATCTTGGAGGTGAGGAAGAAGTACATCAAACTGATGAATGAATCAAAGATTATTTTGAAAGATAGACGACAAAAGAAGCGGTTCGATGGGTTGGGAGATTACAATTCTGAAGTAGGCACGGATTCTGAAGCTGAAGACAGATGTGCAGTAGGTGAGTTTAACTAAGGGAACTTTTGACAAGGATTGATGAAATTGTAAATGATATCTTTGTTCAACGAGTGTAAGTATGAAGCTCTTGGCATGGATTGTTTTGAGAAACAGATGGTTTATTGGTTCCATGGATTCTTATTACAGCTTGTTGAATGGGTGGACGGTTTATGCATTTCTTTTCTGTGATTTCAAATATCATCAATGCAACTACCCCAGAAAAAGAAAAGAAAAGAAAAAGAGATTCCTTTGTCTAAACCTAACTTGTTTCTAGACGTACAAGGCAAAATAGGTTGAAATTCAAATGAGCATTTCATAGGTTTTAGAAACTAATAGTAACACTAAATAGACCAAGGACTAAATGCTGTTGATATTTAGAAACTAGAAATAAATACTAAGACTACAAACTACTAGGGAGTCTGGTTAAGAAATTCCACACAAAAAAAAATAAAACCAAAAATACTTAATTTGGAAACAAGTATAGTAATCCCGTGGTAAATGGAACAAAAACATTGGTGTCTAGACAGTGATTAATACGAAATAAATATGATCTTAAATTTAGATTTATTACACTGATCCTAGTTATCATGAGTCTTGATTGCATTGTTCATGGCCCTAATTGCTTTGTTCACCCAAACRTTCTAGCATGCTTCTTCTAAATTTCCAACAAGCTCAACCTAAATCATCATACTGGTCTAGTACATGAACTCATTCTCTTTTGTTTTTGTTCATCAGCTTTGTCATACAGGTATGGAAAGTCAATACTCAATAGGCATAGCATGTACAAGGTGTTTGGCATGGAATTTGTACTTTTTCCCCAGAATGTAATTTGCACTTTCTAATTCTATTGAAGTGTTTGACATGGACTTGGTACCCATTTTTTATTATACAGGTTGGTTTGTTAACAAAAGTTCAGCATGGTAACCTGGTTAAATGATCTTAATGATCCCAGAGATGGTCTTTTTGTGGATGATAATGTTTGATTTGTAACTTCGTGAGTTTTTTAAGTGCAATACCTGTTGGTCTTTTATGGATGGTTGAAACCTCAATAAATCTGAAACTTGTTTTCCAAGGTCCAAATAATGACCTTTTATATAGCTTATGAGTTCTAAACCATCTAAGACCAGAATTCTTCCACTCATTTCAGATAGGATATTATGCAAGAATCAGAACAGTTATGTGATAAGATATGGTCATGGTTGTTTTTCATAATGTTGAAAGAATAGAGCATGCAGTAGATATCCACCTTTAGATATGGCAAAAGAGGATAGGCATAATTCTCTGGAGGTGAGGGCAGTTTTGGTTTGGACTTTATGGGAAGAAAGAAACAATAAAATTTTTCAAGAGAAAGAGAGAAGCATGAAGTGGTAATAGAGTGTAAAGTCTTGAGGGTGGTATGCTGGATTAGAACCTTGGACAATTTTTCACAGTTCTCCATTGATGGTATCTGGAGGAATTCAGGTACAGTGACAAAAAGCTTTTCATGTACAAGCTTATTTCCTCTTGGATCCCTCCTGAAGAAGACTATTAAACTTAACTTTGATGGAAGCATCTTAGGCAACTTAGGGCCTTCAGGAATAGGAGGGGTTATTGCGTTGTTCAGTTGTTCTCGGGTCTGGTTGGTATGGGAGATTCAGCTAGATCTGAGCTTCTTGCTTCTCTTGAAGGTTTACCATTAGAAAGACAGTTGAGCTTCAATAAATTGGTAATTGAAGGGGATTCCAAGTTGGTGATAGGTTGGTTTAAGAACCCAGAGATAGCTTTATAGGTTTTGAGGGAGGAGATGAAGAGATTAAAATGGATTAGCAGTAACCTGACACTAAAAATACAGTGGGAAAGAAGAGCAGCTAATGAAATGGCAGATACTCTAGCCAACCAAACAGGGGGTTACCAGGGATCAGTTCTGGGCCCATTTGTAATCTGTCTTTAGTTTGGGAGGGTGCACCTCACACCTCTCTTTGAGCCTTGTACTTTAATCATCCTCTAATAAAATTTACTTATTACTGATCAAAAAAATTGTTGAAAGTATAGAGACCCTTAAGCCAGTTTATCAGTGGTGGGGTTGAAAGTTGTTAGTTGTGACACACTGTCTTTCATGCCCCCTTGGATAAGTATTGTAATATGTAGGCAGACAGAATGTTACATACTTCATGTATTTCCCCATTAGGATGGACTAAGATATTGTTTAACAATGCAATGTGACAGCTCTAGGGTCCTTGCATGACAAGRACTACATGTTCTCTCCTGTAAACATGATGCATATGCTCTTGGATCCAGAGTATTTGACTTGATCACCTAAAACATTTTTTTTATCAGTAAAAAGACTTATATTAATAACAGAGAAGTATTGAATTACAATAGATATAGGTTGCAGTAATCCATTAACCCAATCTATAACCCAGTCTACAGACACATACAAAACAGTTATAGTTCAGCCCGGTCGGTACAAGGTAGGTCTATTTGCCCCCTGTTTTGCTAGGGTATCCGCCAACCCATTTGCAGTCCTTCTAACCCAACCAAACTGAGAGTTGAACCTCCTTGCAATTGTGTCAGTTTCTCTGTAGATAAATTTGAACTTCCAAGGTACTGATGTGATGTTTTTAGCCCAAGAGATGACCAGTAGTGAGTTTCCTTCTATTTCTAAGTCTGTTGTTCCAATCTGCTCAGCCATCTTTAAGCCTTGAAGAAGAGCCAGAGATTCAGCCTATGTTGAGTCACCAATGCCTATTGGTCCTGAGAAGAGTGCCACAACTTCACCTAGATGATTTCTTATCACACCCCCTATGCCTGCCCTTCCTGGGTTACCAAGAGAACTCCCATCAAAATTTAGTTTCAATTTGTTCATTGCAGGTGGCTTCCATTCCGCTCTCACATCTTCTTTGGGTACATCTGTCTGTGCTACTTCAGTCCAATTTCTTAGAATGTCATTCAGGGAGAATTTTTTGAATAGTTCCATGGTCATTACCCAATGTAAACATTGATAAGGGAAAAAGGAATGGTATATGATAATGACTACAAGTTCTTCCCCATAAACATAGTCCACAGTATCTGATCTATAGGGAACCTTTGTGTTGCTTATGGCCCAGAAATTAATTGGATAGCTATTAATATGATCATCCATGTACCTCTTTCTTGACAAATTCTCATGACTGTATTAACTGCAAAAACTAAGCAATGAAATTTCATGATTAAGGATTGTCAGTTGGAGCAATTTTTCAACCAAAATGCAATAAAGAATCAAGAGCTTTCCAGCTGATTGAGCTGACAGGTTTGATTATGTTGCATACCATGTGCAACCAGAAAAGTAAGCATGTTATGACATAATGACATTAGATTATCCTGCAGAATTTCTGTTCTCCAAACACCAATCCTTAATCCTCCCTACCCCACATTATTCTGTGATGGAAGGGGAGATAACCTTGTACTTTGATGGAAGCGCATTTGGAAACCCAGGCGCAGCAGGAATCGGTGGAATTTTCAGAAGAAGAGATGGTACAGTTATTTGGGCTTTCAGTGGACCAATAGGGATAGCCTCTTCAACAAAGGCTGAAATTATGACAGCACCAAAGAAATGCTGCAGAATTTCTGTTCTCCAAACACCAATCCTTAATCCTCCATACCCCACATTATTCTGTGATGGAAGGGGAGATAACCTTGTACTTTGATGGAAGCGCATTTGGAAACCCAGGTGCAGCAAGAATCAGTGGAATTTTCAGAAGAATAGGTGGCACAGTTATTTGGGCTTTCAGTGGACCAATAGGGATAGCCTCTTCAACAAAGGCTGAAATTATGGCAGCACTAACTGGAATCAGGATTGCAAGAGATCTGGGTTTTCAGAACATCACCATAAAAGGAGATTCAGCAAATACAATCAGGTGGCTAGCTGACCATGGCAGTGGGCCATGGGCTTTAGCACATTTTTTGACTGAAGCAAGGGATATCCTTCTCAACCTAAATGCACAGCTGGGTTGGATCCCCAGGAAGCTAAATACTGAAGTGGATGGTCTAGCAAAAGCTGGTGTTCACAGGGATGTCTTGTTTAGTGATAGTTCTCTCCCTACTTAACTCCTGAGTTGTAATTTCTGTGTACATCTCCTATGTACCCTTTTTCTTTAGGGAGACTGTTTTGGGCTTGTATGTAAGACTTTTATTCTGATTTTCCACCCATCCTTTGGGTGGTGATAACTGTACTCTCATTTTATTATCTTTAATGAAAGTTACCGTTTCTTATCAAAAAATTATATTGTCCTACTGTAGCTGGATTTGCTGTTGCCTTATAAGGAAACAGGGGACAGGCGTTGGATCTTGAATGTCTTGTTATTTCTAATATCTATCTCAATTCAACTCAATTAAGCCTTGTCCCAACTACATGGGATCTGCAACATGAATCCTGTTCCACCAATCCACTCTGTTCATGTAACATCAGAACAGGTATATGCACATAAGTTAGGAGATTCTTATTAATGTAATGTAATGTTATTTGTCAAAAAAAAAAGAAAGAAAAAAAGGGAGTATGCATATTCACACAAGTTTCTGAAAAGAAAAATATTCACATAAGATTCTCAGGGAAAGATAGACACTACTTGGAAGATTGTTGTTTCAGGTTTTATAATAAGACCTTTTGAGTTTGGACTTGTATACAACCATGTTCCTTGGTATAGAAAGATATTAAAGGAGAAGAGAAGTAAGCAAAGCGAGCCTCAGAAAAACAAAAGGTTGATTAACTTTATTTATTGAAATGCAGATATCCTAGTTTTTTTTTTTTTTTTTTTGTTACTTTGTTATCTTAGTAACTAAAGTTAGCTTCTTTTATATATATCATCTGCAATTAGAACCACAGAGAATAAAAAGTAGAATATTCCCTCTTCCCTTGCCCAAAAAATGGTCATTACCTAATGCTGGTCCCATCCTTTTGGGGTCTTAGAAGGGGTGGATTCATACAGGCCTACCCCCTGGCATTTTTTGCATGAAGCAACTGGTTTCAAACTTGAACTCATGTTCTCACACATGTCAGCTTGAGTTTTACCTTTTCACTAGGAGATATGCCCATCCCTCCCCAACCCTAAAATAAAATGGAAGAAAAATTTAACTGCAAGGAAAATCTTACCTGACCATAATGTACTTAAAGAAAGAAATTTCCTTAATTGATGTATTCATACATGTGAAAGCAATTAATTCCTACAGCACCAATGCCAAATCCTTGATAGTTCTTGTGATGGCATTCAACAAGATACAAGGACAAGTAAACTAGCAGTCAACCAAGCATGCAGGAGCAGGTATAACATTGTATGATTGTAATATCATTTCGAAGGATTTTGTTATATGTATAACTGAGTAAATTATGTAGAAAATTGCAGTGATCAAGGGAGTATGAATGCAATGGTATAGCTTTTATATTCTATCTAGTTGCACTTTAATTTTTTTTAAAGGCAGTCATTTCTTGAAAGAATTCCATATTTACTATAGCTCTTTTCCTCTTTCTCTCTCTTTCTTGAACATGCCACTGAACCAGTAAGGATAATGGCCATAGTGGTCAAGGCAACACCTAGGCGTCACCAAGGCGACTAGGCGGTTTTACAGTGTCACCTCGCCCAAACGCCTATAGTTTTGTATACTAGGCGACCGCCCAGAGACTTAGGTGGGCGCCTAAATCCAGCTTCAGTGCTCTTTTTTTCGAAAAAAAACAGGGGCTTCTTCTCTTCAAGCCCAGCTTCAGTTCATTTTTTCTTCGAAAAAACAGGGTTTCCGCCCCTATACTCCTCCTCCTCCTTCTTCTTCCAGCCCAGAGTCAATGCTTTTTTTTTTTTTTTTTTGAAAAAACAGGGGCTCCACCCCTATTCTCCTACACTTATTATTTTTAATAGCCAAACCTACTCCCTTCCTAGTTCCTAAACTTATAAAATAGTTTAGGCCAGATTCCATCGCCTAGGCACCCGCCTTGGAGACTGGGTGTTGCCTAGCCTTGCCTAGTCGCCTTGACAACTATGATAATGGCATAATTATTTTGGATATATTATTTTTTTGTTATCAGAAACAAAGAAAATTTTATTAAAACTAATTAAGAAAAATGTTACAACAAGAAGTTGTTAAATCTGAACACCCTTTACATCAAAAGAACCCACCACCCCATTGTAATTAAGCCCAATACAGGTGATCTCTATGCACTCTTTGCTTAGCTAATCCATCAGCCAATCCATTAACGAACCTTCTTACCCATCTAACTTGAATGTTCATAGATCTTGACAACATCTTGAACTGCCTTAGATCATTCTAATATAGCTAAATCACCCCCTTTCCTTTCTTCAGCCACCAAATTATTATTTTTGAATCCTCTTCCACAATCAACCTTGTGATTCCCATTTCCTTTGCTTTTTGTACCTCAAAACAGCAGCCATTAACTCTGCCCTAAAAGCAATCTACATATGTTCCCTCCTTCATCCTAAATCACGCCAACTATAAAGGGTCCTGGATTTCCCAAACTACTTCCATTAAAGTTTCATCCATCCTCCACCTGGGGTTGACCAAACCTCGTGGATTCTTTGCTTCCTAGATGATGAACCAACAATTGAATCCCAACTATTGAAGAAGTCTTCTACTATAAAATCTGAAAAAAGCACTTCATAGTCTTCACCTAGTATGCTACCCTTAGAGTAACAATCTCGATAATTGACTCCTTATTCTTCTCTTTCTACTCGAAGATTTTTGGGTATCTCTCTTTTCAATCCAAACTACTATTGCCCTTGTGCATCTCCATAATTGCCTCTTCTCCTAGTGCTCCTTAAGAAAGATGGGCTAAATAGCCTATCCAAACTAATAGGAGGGATCCACCTACAACCAAAAAGCAAGTAAAACCATTCCCAAATACAGCAAACAAAGGCCTTGTTTGACGATTAAGTACTTGTTAAAAGAAGTATTTGTTATGTTAGAAGTACTTATTTTAACAACCACTTAAGGTTGTTTGGTAACCCACTTTTCAAATCACTTATTATGTTTTTAAGCACTTATTGGAGTGGGGATGTTTGGTAAGCTACTTTCCCCATAAGTGTTTATATTGACACAAATGACAATTTTACCCTCCACTGTAGATTACTCAAATCTCTCCCTCTCCCAGGGGTGTTTGGTATTCTCCTTCACTTGCACCCTTTCTGCTTTCACTGTAGCATGGGAATCAGGGGGAAACATTGTTACCCTCACTGCCTCAATAGAGACATTCTCATCAACCATCCAGTTACTACTACTCTTTGTTGAGCCAATCTCTTCCTCCTCATCAAGTTTGCTGTCTTCTCTAGCAGGTGAAGTTGGAGAGTACTGAAATTTGTGCAGAGGATGACACGCTCTCCTCTTCCTAGAGGCAGAATCTTCTATTTTATCTACCTCCTCCTCCAATTGCAATTCTTCCACCTTCACAGTTCTATAAGAATCAGATGAAAACACCTCCACTCCCTCAATCTGATTATGCAAATTCTGTTCCCCCACCCTATCCTTGCTCCTCTTACCTTGCTTCTCATCAAGCTCCCCATCTTTTCTAACCTTAGAATTCATCAACAAGCATTGGGAATTGCAAAGAACTTCATCAATCTCCATCTCCTTTTCTTTATTGGCCTTCTGGAAATAGAATGAAACCACCTGCCCTCCTTTCCTCCTCTTCTTCTTCTTCTCCTGTTTCTCATCATCACTGCTTCTCCTCCAGGAATCAGATTTTTCTCCCTCAAGGGCCACTGCCTCTTCCCCATTCTCCTCGGCTTCTTCAATAGCCTCATGAAGGCAGGAGACCTTGTTTTTTGAATGATTCTCGTTATCCATCGAAGAACCCAACAACCGTGCCTTGGGATTTTCTAGTTTCTTAGTCTTAAACGTCTCAAAATCAAGGGAAGCCAATGACGAAGACTATGGAGGCGGTGGCACTGTCTGTTGCGATTTCTGTCTCTTCCTCTTCTTCATGTTTTGGTTCAATTCTCTGCTTTCTTCTTATCTTTCTAATTCTACCACTTCAGCAACCATTTGGTTGTTTTCGTGTTCATGAGAATCGGCCGAGGAAATCCTCCCGTGACGGCGTTGTTTCCTCTTCTTCCTGATTGAAGAAATTGGATTTAACACCCAAATTTGCCAGTGGACCTGCAACCAAATGCCGTCGTTGCCTGTTGTTGTAGGGTTTCGAATGGAAGAAGATGATAAACTCAAGTGGGG